CAAGTCCCTGTCGGGGCTGGGCGGATGGCTGCCACTGCCCGGAACATTAGCAACCCAGCTGTTCCAAGTGCAGGCCTGTAGTTCTGAGAGTTTCTTTCTTTAAATAATAGGAATAAAAATGTCAATTAGAGCCTTTAGATTTCTACCAGAAAATAAGGGATCATATTGTGAAAAAAATAAAAAGGAAGTGGTCATTTCAGTGGAGTGACTATATTTCCTCTACATAAAAATACATACTTATGCTAGCCCTGGTCCCATGCACCAAAAGGTTGCTGGTTCAATTCCAGTCAGGGGACATGCCCAGGTTGTGGGCTTGATCTCCAGTGGGTAGGAGGCAGCTTACCAATGTTCCTCTCTCTCATTGATGTCTCTCTCTCTCTCTCTCTCTCTCTCTCTCTCTCTTTCTTTCTCTCTAAAAGTCAATGAAATTATTTTTAAAAATACGCTAAGATTTATCAACTGGAAAGCACTAGAAACAGGCAATGTTTATTATGCCCCATGGACATTTTCAGTCTAATGACTTGAATCTATACTGTAGCTAAGGCAAAACAGGTGCACCCTGTAATCTCTGGAAATGAGATGCTCTCTTCTGTGAGAATTTAAAGACTAATATGGCCACATTTGAGAGTCATTATCCTATTCCTCATCCGAATGACATGAACTTATGTCTCTGAAGCACACACACAAAAATGCCAATTTATGTAGGATAGTCACCTGGGATGCTAAAGGGAGGTGGGCAAGAGCTGTGGGCAGAGAATGGTTGGGAGTCCCGGGGGGGGGGGGCTCAGAACCCCCCTCTGACACCCATGTGGTGGAGAGGAACCGAGCTGATACTTAGAAAGGCGACAGGAGGAGGAAGCCAAGGAACCTTTTTCATTTGGGAGTCACTTTTAGGATCACCCTTCACTGCTCTAATGGTTGCCGTGTTACCAGATGGGGTCTGGGCCCAGAGCCGGTCTGTCTGGGGCTTGCCAGTAGTGTGTGGTTTCTTGGCGTCGTGCAGGAAAGATTTCACAGCACACGTTTTTGAGAGTGTGATTATTAAAGCAGGGGACAGCGAACCGAAGGAGGGGCTTAAGGTAGAAGAAGCAGCAGGAGAGAGAGTCAGAGAAAAGGGGGGCCTTGGAGACAGGTTCAGGGGGTGAGCCTGGGATGCACTGCTGCTGCTGCTGCTGCTCCCCTGGCTGCAAGTCTCGTGGGGACCTTTTGAGTTTAGGAGAAAGAGAGCAGAGATACGAGGCATGGGCGTGCTCTAGGGAGAGCACACGTGGGTCCTTTGTCTTGAGACGTTTTGTCTTCCTTTGACTGGTGGGGAGCGTAGAGGAGACCTTAGGGCAGAGTCGTACCAGAATAGTCATTCGCTTCCTAGATGTGTTCTTCAGGATGCCGATTCGTCAAAATGTGTGTATGGGGGGCCAGGGTTATTTTCCCGTTAGTTTCATTTTTAAAGGATGTCATCAAGAAAGTCGGGGAGGAGGGACTGGTGCCAGGCTTTTCTGCCCTGGATGGTCTGCAATTTGCAAACTTTCCACCCTTAGGGTCCTGGTTAGGGAAGACCAAACCTTGTGATTCATTAGCTGGCTGTAAATTGTTCAAACTGTGTGGCCTTGTTTAATTACTTTTTTCTGTTTTCCTTATTCCACTTGTCAAGGAATTTTCCTAGCTTCTTACTATCTTGCCTCATCTACTCCATTATCTTATGAGCATACTTAATTGGAAATTACTCATGAACTACTTCGACCAGATCTAATATTCTATTTTTTATCCTCATTCTTCTTCTTCTTACTCAATCATTTGATCATGGTTTGAACACTCGTTGTTTTTAATGTACTAATTCTCAACCACTCTGTATTTTGACCCCTCTGTCTCCTTCCTGTCTGTTGTTTCTATGGGAGTCACTCATCAACTCTTAGCTTTGAAGAATCCAAAAGTATTAGCCCAGTCACACACATCCCCTTTCCTTTTTGTCTATTTCTGGAGCACACACAGGATTCCGTTTCATGGAATCACCATATATAGCCTGCCCTACGACTTTAGGCACTCATTTAGGTACCCAATTAAATACAGTCTCAGACTGGTCCCTGTGTGTGTGTGTGTGTGCGAGAGAGAGAGAGAGAGAGAGAGAGAGAGAGAAGGGGGGATCTGGGTGGCTTTCTTATTCTCGATGCATGTGCTCCTTCAGATTGTAAGTGCTTACAAGTAGAGAGGATGAGCAGTGACTTGAGCGTGTATTTTAGAGCCAGAACTGTGTTCCAATAGTGCAATTGCTTATAGGAACTCTGTAGGCCACTAAAGCTGTCTAAAGCCAAATTCTTCATCTTTAAAATTAGACAATGATACTCACCCCTCTAGACAGAGCTAGCAAGTAAGATTTATGTGAAATGAGCAGCATACAGGAGACTCAGCAATGATTTCTCCCTGTGCTTGTAACCTCCCTCACGTCACCCATTCCAGTAACACAATTATTGAGCTCAATTTTGGTTTGATTGATTGACTAATAGGCAGATTAGAACAGTTGGGATAGTCTGGCTAATCAACCAAATCCCTCCACCGTGTCCTCTCAATAATGTAAATTATGAAAGTTTTATCTCAATAAATCACTTAGATTACTAACCAAGATTTTATTTTTAAGAAAATGCTAATGTCGAGAAGATAGGGGCACCATATGTTTCAGGTGACCCTGACATACTAATAAGGTTATTTGGGAGGGTCTATAATGTGAAAAATACAGCATCTAGTTTATATTTGACTAGAGGCCCGGTGCATGAAAATTCATGCACTGGAGTGGGGGTCCCTCAGCCCGGCCTGCCCCCTCTCAGAGTCCAGGAGCCCTCAGGGGCAGGAGGCAACCTGGGGATCAGGGGAAGGCGATGCCCCATCACACCTCTGCTGCTGCCACTGCCGGCAGTGCAAGCCTCAGCCGGCCCTGGTTACCTGAGCCTCGGGCCAGCCTTGGGCGGCTGGGCAGCCAACATCTGAAGCTTGCCTGCACCTCAGGCCGGCCCTGAGCAGCTGGGGAGCTGAGGGGACTGGGGGTCTCCGAAGGCAGGCATGCGGAGTGGCCGGGCCCATGGTCCCAGCCTTGCTGCACGCCTGCCACCCTGGTGGAGCTGAGGGGACTGGGTGCTGCCATCTTGTGGCTTTGGGTGCTGCCATCTTTGAGGGTGTGGCAGTCAATTAGCATATTCCCTCCTTATTGGCTGTGGGCACCACCATATTTGCGACAGTGTGAGGGTCAATTAGCATATTCCCTCTTTATTAGATAGGATAAGTTTGCTTACTGTCATTTTATTTGGTTTTCATTTATATTGATTAACTAGAGTCCTAGTGCACGAAATTCGTGCATGGGGGGTGGTCCCTCAGCCCGGCCTGCAATGACACCAGTGTCCCTTGCCCCAGCCTCCGGCCCAAGGCTCCTCCCCTCCCTCCGCACAGCTGGAGCGCAAACACTGGGCTCGCGTCACTGCAAACCCAGCGCCCCTCGCCCCAGCCTCTGGCCAGAGGCCCCTCTCCTCCCCTCCCTCATGTGGCCAGGGCACGGATGCTGGACTTGTGTTGCCAAGGCAACGTCGCCAGCATCCCACCCCAGGCCACTATTGGCACCGTCATCTTTGTCATGGAGTGACAGTTAATTTACATATTACTCTTTTATTAGATAGGATAGAATTAGAGATGGTAAAAGTTGTTGGAGGAGCGTATAAAACACAGAAAATACAGGCATCTTGACCTCATACCCTAAATATCATGGTCTTTTTTCCCTAGTAGTAAAGCTATGGGGATTTAAAGGTGATGCCAAATGCCAGCAGTGTATTGAAGTAAAAGTGTCCCTCAGCCCCAAAGAATCCCAGCCCCCAATGAGCTGATGTGGGGACAGTTATAATAGCACTTCTGGTAAAGAGGAAGGAGTGAAACCCTAGACGTGACCAAGGTGGGATTTGTTGGTAATCCTGGGGCGCCTCAGTGGAAGTCAGCGCAGTGACTCAGAGCCTGTGACGGGCCAGCTGTCCCAGCCCTGGGCGCCCCACGTGTGGTCCCCATTACCACACCCCAGGGAAGCCTGGGGTGACGGCCACGCAGCTGCTTCCCTGGCAGGACCTCATCCCCTGGGGAGGCGAGGGGAGCACTTTGTGACTTTATCTTCAGTGCTTTGAAGTCAGTGGCACTGGGTCCAGTGAATGGCCACTGTCACCTCCTCCGGGGGGGCCTCTCTGACTCCTCTGCACCAGGGCGAGGCTGCCCCTCTAGGTGTGCCCAGCACACCCTGCCCTCACCGGGGCGTATCTGATGTCTGTCTCCTCTAGACCATGAGGTCCTTGTGGCAAGGATATTCTATTTTTCCATGTCTCCCCAGCATTCAGCAAAATGTTTGACATGTAGTAGGGGCTTAAAAAGTGCGCACTGAATGAAAACTAAAGTTATTTCCTATGGCTTTCCATCTATATATATATATAATTTTTTTTTCTGACCACAGCCCAAGCTACATCATTGGCTAATTGGATGAGCCCTCGATGAGATCATCCAGTTGTGGACTGCTTGGGGACTGAGCTCAGGACCTACAAATAGGACCCCGCTCAAGGCTTGACGTGATGGGCTTAGTTTTACCTGCTAGTCCGGATATCATGTGCAGGGACCCCGCACACCAAGCCTTCAACGTGTTCGTGCTAATTCCACACCAAAATAATAATAATAATAATAATAAAAGAGGCAACAGTGTGTATGTCGATTTCACTACCCGGATTTTGACGTTCAGAGCAGAGGCCCGCGTGGCGTCTGTTCCTTCCCAGGGTGGACAGCCAGGGGTGCGGCCGGGCCCGCCTCGCAGGCCTCCCTGGAACGTGCG